ATCCGAGTCTGTGATGTTTGGCGGGAAGGCTTGGGTTGGGACTTCACTTATGTGTCACAGTTCGCAACCGAGCAAACTAAATTAATGTTTGCTTCGGTGGTGTTGGATAATGTTACGGGTGCGAGAGATAGGCTGTCCTAGGGTGGAAGCGTCAATGGTAACTTCACAGTCAAGCCATCCTATGCTCTCCTTACTAAAGTTGAGGAACCAAGACCAAATATGCAGAAATTATATGATCGAGTGTGGCGGGTTGTAGCTCCCGAGAGAGTCCGGGTCTTCATTTGGTTGGTGGTGAATCAAGTCATTATGACAAATGTGGAGAGGAGAAGAAGACATTTAAGTGACACAGACTTATACTCGGTTTGCAAGCAGGGAAAGGAGTCGATTATACATGTCCTTAGGGATTGTCCGGCTCAGCGGGGAATATGGAGTCGAATAGTGGATGCTAGGAAGCTGTGCTCATTTTTTGAGCAGACCTTACTCGGATGGCTTTACCGGAACTTAGGTGAGGATGCGGATACGGATGGCAGCCCATGGTCAACAATGTTTTCTTTGGAAATTTGGTGGAGTTGAAAATGGCGCTGTGGAAATGTATTTGGGACAGACTGGAAGTGTAGAGATGTGGAAATGTATTTGGGACAGACTGGAAGTGTAGAGATAGAGTTCAGTTTCTCAAAGACCGGACTACAGAAGTGTCTATGGCACATGTGATGATACATGATCAGTCACGGCGGGCTGGGAGAGGGGAAAGAATGATTAGATGGTTACCTCCGGGGGACAACTGGATCAAGTTGAACACGGATGGTGCCTCCCGCGGTAATCCGGGTTTGGCAACAGCGGGGGGAGTTTTGCAAGACGGGGATGGAATTTGGCGCAGTGGCTTTGCTCAGAATATAGGTGTATGCTCTGCCCCTTTGGCGGAGTTATGGGGCATTTATTACGGACTATATATAGCTTGGGAGAAGCGGATTACACAGCTAGAGTTGGAGGTAGACTCGGAGATTGTGGTAGGTTTTCTTAAGACAGGGATTAATGATTCTCATCCCTTGTCGTTCCTAATACGTTTGTGCTATGGCTTCTTATCGCGTTACTGGATAGTCCGCGTATCTCATGTGTATAGGGAGGCTAACCGTCTTGCGAATGAGTTAGCAAACTATGCGTATTCTCTTTCGTTAGGTTTTCATTTGCTTGAGTCTAAACCGGATGTGGTTGATTTTATTGTTTTTGACGATGCAATCGGGTCTGCGCGCCCACGTTATGTTCGTTTGTAATTTTCTTTAATTTTTCTTAATAAATTGTGGGGGACTTAGTCCCCCATCCTACCAAAAAAAAAAAGCTATGTATTGTGAGAGTTCTATTGTTTCTTTACCATAAATAGTTCTGATAAAATGATCAATTGTTTACAAACTCATGGTTAAATAATATCAATGTATTCGAGTGATGCATAAGCAATGGCTACAGTCAGAGCCGGTCCTAAAAAATTTTGGCCACAAGCTAAATTTTTGTTATGGATCTATAAATTATTTTAAAAAATTTGTTTCATGAAATTTAAAAGGAAGAGACATTGAACCTCCCACCACAATTGACACACCTTCATGAATTAACCAACAGAGCTATAAAAAAATTTAAGGAAAAGTGGGCCAAAAATTATAGATATTTATGAAGGACCGTAATCAAGTGCTTCCTCCAGGGCCGGCTCTGGCTACAGTCTCACTTCCCCTAAAAGCTTTTGCACAAAATTTTTGAAAAAATCACTTATTTTTGTTAAGTTCGTAAAAAAAGAGTAGGAAACATTTTTTCTATCACAATAGTCGTAGGAAATTAGTAAGACCTTTTTGTAGGAAAATGGTAGGAGATATTTGGTAGGAACGTATGTTCTACGAATTTTGTTGGTAGAAAAATAGTCAAAAACTTCATTCCACTTTTCTACGAATTTTCCAACGAAATTTCTGCCAATATCAATTACTTACGGTGCATTTCCTATGAAACATTTCCTATAAGCTGTTTTCGTAGGAAAACGATAAGTAAGCCTCGTTTCATACGATTTTCTTACGCTTCTGGCCGAATGAAAACGAGGTTTTTCTTGTAGTATGTAACCTATTTCCCACCATTTTTCTATGGTATTGGCCGTATGAATTTCGATCATGTTCTTGTAGATGAAAACCCCAAATCTCTTTTTAGAAATAGAAGTTACACCATCCATGTTGCATGGAAGTAAAAAAACGCTATGGCAAAAGCTAGACCCAAATCGGACAACACACATTCGGCTTTTCCTTTGAGACATATTATGAACTTCAACAAGGCCATCTGAGACGACCTCGAAGATGGAAAAATGTGGGCATTTCTGAGAAAAGAAGAAATTGTTGCTATAGATGTAGGTTTGATTATACAACCGATGAACCTGCAAAGCTAACATAAACTAAGAAAACAATCACAAAAATTGTTTCTGATATAATGAGATGTTTTTTTTTTGTTTTCCCACATGTTGGAAAAGTGGATGAGAAAGATCGATGCCAATAGGTAGTGAATGGCGTGACAAGATAAAAACATTTCCTATCATCTAACGTAAGACATTTTAGGAGAATGTAGAACCAAGTTGATGAAAAATAGAAAAAGTAATTCCTTAAAACTTGAGCATAATGAATCAACGAAGTTAATACATCGAGATTCGAGAGAAGTACAATGACACACACACGAAAATGGCAAGAAAGAGGAGGGACATTATCGAATAGAAAAGAATGAAATCTAGGCTTTTATTGTTTAGAAAAAAAGAAGTCTATAAAATAAAGGGCTCACTGACTTTGTCTCATGCCACTGCGTTGATCTCCGTTTTCCCCACAATGCATTTGCATTCTTGTTCTAACACCAGGCCAATTTCCTTTAGAAAAACCTTACACCTTTGTAGCTTTTTAAAAATCCATCGGCGAATTTATCTTCAATATTTGAGAAGAGGTCAGAGGTGTGCACAAGAAAGTAGCAAGAGCACTCCGACTTTTTTTGTGGATGTAGAGGTGAGCAGCTATAACCCTATTGAGTACTATTGTCCAACAATAACCTAATGATCAATAAATAAGGAATAATTAATCTTGTATTGACAAATAACAAAATGAAGCAACACACAAGTTACCAAAGGAAACAAAATCTCCAGCAAAAAAAATCTTTTGTCTTATATAAATGTTACTTATAAATACCTCAGGAAGTCTGAGGGTGGTCATATCAAAAAAAAAAATGTAGTGAAGATCTTCAAATCGTCGAAGGAGGGAGGTGGTGGAGAGCGTAATAGGTTTTATGTGAAGAAAACCAAGTCATCAGATATTCGAATATATTTAGTAAAGGCTATTTTATTTACGGGCAAAAAAGGAGAGCTTTTTCACTCACAAAACTAACTCGAGTAAAGATCTTTTGTTTATGTCTACTTTGATTATTTTTATTCGAGAGAAGTATAATGACACACATGCTATAATGCAAGAAAGAGGAGGGACATTATCGAAAAGAAAAGAATGAAATCGAGACTTTAATTGTTTAGAAAAAGAAAATAAGTCTATAAAATGAAGGGCTCACTATGTTTAAATGAAGGGTTAACACATTATAATGACAAAAGTTGTTCCCATATATGATTACTTAAAAAGCAAAACACAATATATTTTTTAAAAAATTTGCATATCAAATATCTATCAAATAAGTTAATTACTATCAAATATCTCTATTATTACTTTCGTAGAATTTATTTTTGACCAATGAAACAGCCATGAATGTTTTTTGTGGAATAAAATTTTTATGAATATAAATTTCTCCATTATTATATTTGTAACAAATAAATTTTAACCAATCAAATAGTTAAGTTTTTATTTTTTTGGATACTTATTTATATATTAGGTTTTTTGTATTGTTAAAAATATCTCCAATTTTGACATGTTTATCTCAATTTTAAATAATCAAGAAAAGTAAAAATAATTATTCAATTTGATTTTTAACATTTTTGATTTGAGTAAATAAATTAGAAAATATAACTATTAAAATCTCCATTACTATCTGTTCATAATTTAATTGCTAATAGCATTGGTCATAAAAAATTATTTAAGAAATGGTGTTTTTGAGAATTATTTACTTGTAGAATGTTCAACCATAATACATATGATAATTATGTCCATTCCCACCCAAAAAAATATGATAATTATGTCCATTACACACCGGTCCCTCAAAATGGAAGATCTTGAGAGAGTCCAATCTTGCATTAGAAATTTGAATCACGAATCTAGGAGTAGTTTGGTTAGTGCATCTACCAGCTGATCATGCGTGGAGACATGTGACACGAACAATACCAGATTAAACTTTGTCACTGATTATATGGTAGTTAATGGCGATGTGTTTCAATCTTCGACTGAAAACCATTATATATACAAAGCTAGGTAGCACCAACGTTGTCACATCACCATCATTGTATGATTGGTGAATAGTGAGATTATTAAGATTTGATGATGTGATTAGTAGCTTCACCGTCTCGAAGCCACCCACGAGTTGGGATTGTTAGGTGACATCTGCAACAAGGTTGGCTCGCAGTTTCCATGGTGAGACATTGTGCGATAATTTTTTATATACTAGATGCGGAATCGGTAACTATGCAGTCGTTAACACAGTTGAATCAGTCGTTGTTTTTAGGAAGGTTACGATGCTATGCACGGCCGTAACACTGGCAGTCATATGAATCCGAGGAGGCAGAGGTACTGAGAGTAACTTGGCCTCGTCTTTGGTATGTCTAGAGGAACATATATGTACTCCTCAAGCAATCTTGATTTTTCAATTTGGTAATATAATGTATAAGCAAACCTCTGAAGATATCAAAACAAGTGGCGTGAAGTAAAAGCTGCCGAGGGAAAATTTGTCCCAGTTTATATTTTCATCGTAGAAATTGGGAATTCTTAATTTGAAGTCTCCGTATAATAAAGTTGAATCTATCAATCGGCTTCTCCCGAGAGCTTTTGCTCTGTGTGAATAAAAACTTATCAAAGTCAGTTTTAATATCTTAAAGAAAGGGTACAAAACTTTCACCATGTTAATATAGTCGAACTGATTCTGAGTTTTTCACCATTGCTTCTTTCCCTTTTTCTTTTTCTTGCTGCTACTACTACTAGTGCTACTGGCAGTTGCTGAAGACGGGCTCTCCCTTGCATTATCAAACATACCAGATTGCACCGCGTTCTGCAACCACTCATAGAACTCTTCCTCTGTCATTGTTTCATCCGGGTTTGTGTTTGGCATTCTCTGGTTTCCTTTTTGCCCTGAAGAACCACTTGTTCCTCGTTTTGCAGCTGTTGCGTTCATGTTCACATGGAAGCTCGGCTTGTGGGTGTTTGCTGGACATCTCATTCCCTTCCAACAATTCAAACAAAAACATTTTAATCAGTCCGGAAAAAAAAAAAAGTACCCAGCAATATCTTATGGAAATTTCAAAAGCAAGCGATTGGTTATTGGTACCTGACATATATACCACTGAGAAGCTTCATATATTTTGCTGTCTGCACAAACGTAAGCACGCGGCATATCAACCTGCGTTACAATAACAAACTATTTCACATGACTGCGAGAAAGAATATCAAGCGATAGTACAAAAAATGTCTTCTTGTGGATCAACCATCACAGACTGTCGATTTCCATTTTCATTCTTCTCCAATATATATTATAAGCCCATCAAATGAAAACCTTTATGTATAAAATACCTTTTGAAACAGCCCGAACAAGACGTGCTGGGAAGATTGTTCAACCCAACCATCTCCATCTTTTGCTTGATGGAATTCCTTGCAATCCTATAGATACAAAAACGTAAATCGGTTAAGTACTATGAATTATACTTCCTCTCAAGAAGTTTCATCATTGGTGTAATATATAGGATCTTAAAGATGCAGATGGGAAGAGTTGGAAAAAACCTGGCACCATCTTGCTGTAGATTTTGATTTCTTTGTAAGAAACCAGGCATGGAGATTGCCACATTTTTTACATGCTATTTGTCTACACTCTCTAAATGCTTCCTCTCCTTCACCTTCTGAGCTTCCAAAACCCGAGCCAGAGAAACCGTGTCCCCGAGTGTCCTGGTTCATGATGATAAATTATGTTAGCAGCTTAATATAAACACAAATATCCGAGTAGAGGATCCAAAAGAAAACGTATTGAGGAATAAAAGCAAAGATAGAAACATGCCTACTTGTTTACAATTACAAGTATGAAGGACAAAAAAAATGATAGTTTTAGCAAGAAAGATGAATTTCAGAAGATGAAATAACAGCCAGACAACAGTATACATACCTTTTGAGAAGAATTCTGAAACCTCCGAAAGTAGTTCAGTAGTTCTTCCCTCTTCAATTCTTCATCATATGATTTTTGTTTTACAGAATCAAGTAATACCTAAAGGCCAGCTAAGGAGATCAGATATGCGGGTTCTTGATGCAGCGATTACAAATTGATAAAATGGAAAGAGAAAAAAGAAATTACCTCATACGCATTCTGAAGTTTTTTAAAAGCTTCAGCTGCTCTCTCATTCCCCATATTCTTATCAGGATGGACCAGCATCGCCTATTAAATCATTCACAATGCTTATAAACTCAACATACCCTTTTGCTGCTCAGAAGTATCCAACAAACATTCACTTCAAAGAGAGAAATAAGTAGCATTACCTTTTTCCTATATTCTCGTTTGAGATAAGCCATGTCAACATTTCCATATCGGGCTAAGCCCAAAGCTGAGTAGTGGTCAGCACAATTCAGCAACCGAGCGACTTCATCTTCAGATGTTAACTCAGAGTCTGTTCCGCTAGTTGACGCGACTCCTGGGCCACGGTCTCCAGGAAAGCCAGGGCCTTTTTCAAAAGATGAATCATTTACAGGCTCGGTGGGTCCATCAGCAGTGTTCTGCTGATTTAATTTATTCTTGAAGAAATATATGAGAGCATCGGTTGAGATGAAAGCAAGATTGAAAGCCAAAAGAAGACCTAGCCATCCAACATAACTCCATGCACTATAGACTGAATACACTGTAATGATAAACAGTGCAATGCGCTCGTGCTTCATCAAGAATGCCAGACCTTTAAATAAACAAACATTGCACACTGAATTAGACAAAATAATGCAAGAGAATGGTCGTTGCTGCAAGATTGAGATAGGAAGGACTTTACCTCCGAAGAAGAGAAAGAGGAGTGTTGTCCAAAAGCTACCATAGAGCCATAGCAAAACCAAACCAGAAATGGCAAGGATAACAGACCCAACAACGAATCCAATGAACAATGCCACCAGAACAGTTGCAACCTGTATTTATTGAGAATTTTTAACATATGCATAAAGAGTAAACATATAATAAATCATAATTGAGATTCTTACCGCAATCAGTATAAATTTAGTCATGCCGATCATCGAAAACGCTGAAAAGAGACCACACCACAGGATAGAGAAAAAGGATGCTGTTCCCATCCGAATGAAGGAATCAAAACCTCGGATTGCACAGTCCAACCAAACCAGAGATAGAAGAAGAAATATGCTGCCAAAGTGCATAAGCCATCTGAAGACAACCGGGAATACTTGCCGAATTTTCGTTATAACAAGATCACGAGCTTTATATACTCGTAATTTGACAGAATCTATCAAAGGCCTGTGTCTTTCCATACACTTAGTCATTTCCCTCGATATGGTAGCAGTGGATATCCTCAGTTTCCTAAGTACTGCATTATATGCTAGCTCAATATTCTCTGACGGGCTGTTCGTGCTCAATATATCCAGCAAGCTTCTCATAACACTGTCAATATGTTCACGACCAAACGGAATATATCTAGCTTCCTCTGTGGTAAAATCAGGTTCATTACGAACTCTGTCTCCAGCTATATCGCTCTCCGAAGCAACAGGCTGATCTATATCCTTAAGAGAAGCAGCACCTTTTACCGCATCCACGTCTCTTTCTAAAGTTTCACAAACTGGACTACTTGTCTGCTTATCACCTTGACAATCCTCTTTCAGAACACTCTCAGCCTCACTAGTTTTCCCTTGTCCCTTTGTAGAATGAAAAGAATCAGAAGCAGTCTTCTTTTTTAGCTTCGTTTGGTTATCCATTCCATTCTTCTGATGACTTCCTTTTCGAGCCATTACCAAATTCAAACACAATCAACTTCTCTAGCACTCAAGCTTAAACTTTCTCTAACATTCCCTGCCACTAGAGAAGAGAGCTAATCCAAATAAGTAAAGTAGAAGTGATCAAATCGAAGATGCAACAAAATAAAGTTCAAATCTTTGAATAAAAAAACGAAATCAAACAAACTTTTATAGCAATTGAGATCGAACCCATAAGGTTTTTGTGGAAATTAAGCAAAAACTAACCAAAAATCGAATTGAGATTATAAAGGCAAAATTGGGGAATTGCCCAGAAGAGTACCTGAAACTCTGATTCCAAACGAGTGGCGTAGCGAAAGGAAGAGGAAGAGATTCCATGAGAGTAAAGAAAAGTCAAATTAAAGGTCGGAGAAGAAGAAGGCCCACAACAAGAAGATGACGAAACAAGTTGTGCCCTAAAGGATCAATTTTTTTTCTGCTTATAATCGATGAAACCAAAATGGGATTTATCTGTGGCTTTTGGAGAGTGATTTGATTTAAGATTTAAGAGGTGAAGAAAAAAAAACACGCTTTTTCAATTTTGCCGAATGATTTGGAAAAGAAACGATCAGAAAAACGGAGGTTTTCGACCGGCGGTGTCACTGTTTTATGATGAGCTGGTGAAATTCAGTTTTGTTCAAATCACCTATATTTTTAGAACATTATATTCAAGAAATAAAAAAAATATATATATATATATACATAAAATCCTCTTAATTTTTCAAATCGCTCGAATGAATTCTATAACTATATGGATTTTTTTTATGATATCGTTATATTTAATCTAATTTTATGATAATGATATTCAATTACCTGCAACAAATGCGATTATGATGAACAGTTTTTACGAACAATTCTATAGCGCAGCTTTCCCCGTAACCTTTGATTCCACAACAGCATGTACGACAATTTCATTATATTTTAGGCGCTTTTATAAGTAACTAGAAGAAAATCCGGGCTACGTCCGGTAATTATTTATTTTTATATATAGATGCCAAAAGTAAGTAATTTTATATTTAACGCTTTAATAATTTCACCGAAAAGCCTATATGGTACTATTAATTGTTTAGTTTTATCTATCCATTGTAAGAGGATGCGACAAAAAAATAAATGATAACGGGTTACATATATTGTTACCATTCTTATGATAATCACGGAATCACCTCCATGATAATCACGGTTAACACATGATCTTCTGATTCCTGTCTTAGAAGATGAAGCGCCAGAGACCCGGATAAGAAACTTTGAACAACCTTCTCATCAAAGACTATAAAAAAGAGGTTGAAGTCAAATTTTAGTTCCACCTCTTCGAACTCCCTGCTTTGTTCTCTTTCTATTTCTTTCAAGCATACAACTGTTAGAACCATTAAAAAAAAAAAGATTTAACATCATTCATTGTGTTTTGCAATGATGATAGTCACAAGATTTTGTGGAGATAGTTTTTTACTACATGTAGATACTTGAAGAGGTGAAGATAGTAAGATGAATTTATAAATTTTGGTCTTCGAATTTATGTGTTTAACAATGAAAATATTACTATATTTATGGAAATTTAGAAACATATATAAAGTAGAAAATACTTACGTGACGAATCGTATGATCTGAAGATTGACTTTGTTAATGCTAATGTTCCGCTTTTCATAGCGGTGATTGAGTTCTTAGTATCCTTTAGGCCATGTCAGAGGTTGAATAGTATGTTCGCCCACTCTCCGTTTTTTCTCAAACCTGAAAGTTTAGATAATACATTTTTAAAACAGCACATTGTAAGCTACATAAAGAGATAGAGTTCGCATATGTTGGGATAAGTACAAATTTCATAAATTCAGTGCTACATAATTTCAAAAAAAAAAAAAAAAAAAAAAATTGACTAACCAGTTGTTGTTTCATTTCCAGTGACCTAAGATTGTTGTGTTGAATGTTGAATTTCGTAGGAGCCAGGAGGTTAAAGAAAGTCAACAACCTTTCTCTTGGAGTTATATCACGAAAATGACAATTATAGACGTCATTTGAATCTTTCTTCTATCTAGATTTTGCACTTTTTGGCTGCGAATTTCAGCTCCATCTTGGGTCTCTCTTCTGTAGGTTTCGTCATTTCAACGATGTAAGTGAACATCTTTTTTTTCTGGAGATGAGAATGGTGAATGGTGATAAAATCAATGTGAAATAAGAAATCTTAAAAATCTATTCGAATCATTAATTACTCATAAGACAAATATACAAAGAAGTAGCATTTTATGGCAAAATAAGATATGGCATCATTAAAACACAAAAGTGGCATGAAGCCATCAAATCCCACATTGTTATAGAAGCCACTAATATTTGAAAAGCCGTCAACAAATGTTACTTTTGAAAAGAAATTAAGGTATCGAAGGAAAGTGACAACTTGAGAAGCGTACCAAGTTGAGGTCTGTGATAACTTGGAATAAAACTGAGGCACCTCTGTTCTTACCGACGATCGAATCTGAAATTAATCAAGAAATAAAACCGAAAAAAAGATTGAAGACAAAGCCTTCGATGATGTAGATATGGGGAGATGCATTGTTTATGAGAACTGGGAAGTCATGGGAAAGGGAAACTGTTCAACTTACTGACGTTATCACCTCCCTAAACCCTATTAAAGTCTAAAATTTTGAGAGATTTTCTTAAATAAAAAAGGAAGCGTCAAATAATTCTCTTGATTGATGATGACATGGCAACTGGAAGAAAATTTAGAATCACAGAGTGATTAGGCTGACGTGGCATTCTCTAAGATAGTTTTCATTTTGCTGATGTGGATGGCCTGAGAGGCTTCAAACAGCACCTTTTATTAATAAGAGATGACAAATATTTTTGATATTAAGTAGGATTATGTAACTTTTACTTTTAGGTGATTTTATACCTAGTTAGGCGGTTTTAAACCGTTCTAGACATCTTTACATAGTCAACTAATCATGAATTAATTATCATTCCTTTTTTTGTTTGAATGTAGTTTTTCAACTTTTAATTATAAAATTGAAGTTTATAACGTCGTTCGATTTCAAGTATATCATCCGCATACTAGCTAGTAGCTACATACACATATCTTGAAATCGAAAGTTAACTATTCTAACCATTAACAAGTCACAGAAAGAAAATAGACATAACATGATTTTCCGTGGCTAAATGAGCTACCGATCTAATCCATGACATTAGCTACTTAAAAGATTGAATTGTATGTTTAGAACTCACTTACGTGTACAATTGGGCAAAAGAAATTGGACTTGAAGTTCAAGTCTTGAACAATAAAAGGATATCCTTTGGGTATATATAAAAAGACAAAAAAAAAACGAGTTTCAATTTGCAAAGAAAAATAAATTAAAGAGATCCACTCGAGAACGCATATTCTCAAACTTGCACAAACTTGCACAACATTTAAAAACACATTAAAAGGTTAAAAAGACAACTTTGAAAACCTCATTGCCTCAAAAACATTCTCAACTCTTATCCAAAGCACAAAAAGAGATTTGATCATATAATTTTTATGGTGACAGAAGCCATGAAAGCCAAGGCAGAGGTGTACCATGGAGACAAGACATGCAGAGAGAAGTTCCGTTCGCTTTTATCCGAAATCGGATTACCAAACCGGCTCCAAAGTAACAAGGAAATTGAAGAATGTGGATACGTGAAGGACACGGGTTTCGTGTGGTTAAAGCACAAGAAGAAGAAAGAAGATAAAAAAATGAGATATCAAGACTTCTTTAAATTCGAAAACATTGTGGTATGTTTCGAAGATGAAGTCACTGCATATTTCGAGCCTAACAGGATCACGAAACTCACTGGGGTTAAGGCTAAGGAGTTCGTGGTTTGGATCTCGCTCGGCGAGATTCACGTGAACCGAGCCTCTGGTTTGATTACGTTCAAGACACAGGTCGGTTTATTATCTAAGTCGTTGCCTTTGTCAGTGTTTGAAGACGTTCATGGTGATGATCATGATGTGAAGGAGAAGCCAAAAAAGGTTCAACAAAATTTCAACAACACCAAAATCTATTTGTACTAAAAGCAACATAATAAATCATCTGTATATATGTATATTAATTTATATGTTATCCCAGAAGGATTATAAAACCTTGAACAAATTTGCATAAGCCCTAAAGGATCCAAGAGCTGAAAATAAACCAAACAAATAGTAGAGAAGGCAACACAAACATGTTAATTACAGGGTACTATGGTGCTGCGAAAGGCGTGAGCAGAGAACCACAAAGGGAGAGAAGAGCTTCCTTTTACAGAAAACATCTCTTTCCATAACTTACTTCGTCTTTGATACACCAAAACCTGTTTATGAGTAGCCAAGAAAACATACTCACCGGTCTGACAAATCGGGAAGATTCCAGGTACCAATCCTTTAATACACCTTAAACTTATGCTATCAACAACACTCCAAGTTTCAGTCTCATACTCATTCATCTTCCAAATCTTCATCCATCCATCTGATAGTTGAATCACCGACAAAAACCCATCGGATTCCAATAGATAAACCCGATTACCACCATTCCCACATCTAATCTCATCAGGTCAAGAAATCTTTCTCCACACATCATGTTCAACATCAAGTGCAAGTATATAACACAAACCACTCATCAACCAATGAAGCATCCCATTGACAAACACCACTTGGTTCTTACTCATGTGTGTGAAACTACATTCTTCTAACACCGAAACAAACTTCCTCCATTTGTTAGTCTCAGAATCAAACACCAAGCAAATGAAACTCCCATCAGGTCTCTGACCAAAAGACCTATGGTAACCAGCCAAGACCACATTAAACTTATTCCTACTCAAGTCACAAGCCAAGCCAACAAGAGTTGCCTCACCATCTGGATAAAACCGAGTAACGGGTCTTTCTCGACTCTTAGGCAATTTCCTATACTCTCTAGTCGACGGATTACAAACATAGTAAACACCCTTTTCAGGAATGCTAGAGCAACACAATAAACCATTACAAGAAACCCTAATTCTCACCCTATCTCTAACAAAACCCAATGATAACTCAGAAACACCTCTCAGATTATCAACACAGATCAAACTTGAAGAATCTGATACTTCAGCCACAAGTAATTGTTCTTTTACAGAGACTTGGTTGAACAAAGAAGTGAAGTATTTGTCAGAAGGTAATCTGTACCAAGATTTGCAAACGGATTTGAACCTGAAGAGAGATTTAACAGGTAATCTTGCAAGAATCTGGAGAATAACCTCATCGGGAAAGAGAGAACCTTTTTGGTTATCCATTAACCGATCAATCAAATACCCAAGAAACAGAGGAATCTACAATGGTCAAAGATTAAAACTTTATCGTCTTACCGCATCAAATCTTATGTGTTTCGATTACCCATTGATGGAAGAAAGAGGACAATAAAATTGAGATAGGATTCGACCAAAAAAGAGAAAAGACCATTTCAGAGATCACTAAGGAAAAGAATTGCGAAAGAGATGATGCAGAATCGCTTGAGCGTTGAACAAGTTTTTTTTTTTTTTTTTTTTTTTACAATACGTTGAACAAGTTTAGTGATGGGGGAGATAGGCCTGGGCTTTCGGTTAACCGTTCGGTTATCGGTTGGGTCCATTCGGTTTCGGTTCTTTCGGTTTCAAAATTTAGTATCCATTCGGTTATTTTGAAATTTCGGTTCGGTTTCGATTCGGTTCCAGTTTTTTCGGTTTTAAAATTTAGTATCCATTCGGTTATTTTGCTTAGGATATTTTCGGATATTTCGGTTATTTTTGAGTATTTTTGGATATTTTCGGATATTTTTGGATATATTTCGGTTATTTTCGAGTATTTTTACTATATTTATATATTTTCACGTTTTTTTGATTATTTGGTCTATAAATAACTAATTATTTTGAAAATATAATTGTATTTCGGGTATTTCGGTTACCCGAAATATTTCGGTTACCCGAAATATTTCGGTTCGGTACCGATTCGGTTACGGTTATTTCGGTTATAGAATTTAGTATCCATTCGGTTATTTTCAAGTTTTCGGTTCGGTTCGGTTCGGTTTTTTTTTCTTCGGTTTCGGTTCGGTACATTCGGTTCGGTTTATTTGCCCAGGCCTAGGGGAGAAGCGCAAGCTTCTGACTGGGCCAATAAACAAAGACTAGGCCCAAGGCCCATTACATTTTGTCACTAAAGAAGAATGAAGAGCCTTTTTCATATTTACTCCCTCCGTATTTTAATAATTGTCGTTTTAGAATTTTTATATTTTTGAATTAGATGTCGTTTTCAAATTTTTATGCAAAATTTATTACTTATTAATGTTTTATAACGTCATAAAACATTAAAAAGTAATAAATTTTGCATAGAAATTTGAAAACGACATCTAATTCAAAAAAATAAAAATTCTAAAACGACACTTATTAAAATACGGAGGGAGTATTATTTAGTGCGTGCGTTTATGACAATATTTTAGCAAAGAAGGAAAAAAAGACAATATTTTAGCAAATATTTGGACCGGTTAAGCAAACGGTTTGCGATAGAACTTGTTTATTTAATGTATCATTCGATATATTTATAACTATGTTATTCAAAACAAAATGATTTGTTCTTTATGTTATGCGCATAGTTGTTAGTTCTATATTAGTTCCAAATTATATGTTGTTTTAAGAAGTGAAATTTTACTCAAAATACCAAGTGTCAATAGTTCAATCGGTAAAGTATCTTAGACAAACTTAGAGGTTATTGGTTTGAGTGGCGTTTGAAAAAAAATCATATAAAATGTACTGATCTCTGCCCTGGGAAAATGTACGGGTCTAAATACAGAACCTCTTAGTAATTTTTTTTAAAAAAAATCTTAATCGAAGTTAATAGTAGAGTAGTAGAGATGTCGAGATATAAGTTATAACCTAGGATTCTTTCCCTTAGTCTTCCACCCATGAAGGATATTTTGAGATCTTGCTTCTTCTTGGGCCAACCATAAAATTAAACTCTTTATATGTACCTCTTATGTATACATAAAATGTCTACTCTTACATAACCATACAAAATTTATGTGTATGAATATAATGGAGATGAATTATTAAAGGGAGTAAAAAAGTGTAATTGAAGAGAAGGATTTGTCGGAACTCGGTGACTTTGTCTCAATGATTTGTGTCTTTGGTCACATCAGTTTCCTTTTCTTCCTCAGGCAACTTAAGTTGCTTCATTTACTTCCTCAATTTTTTCTCCCTTTGCCTTTTTGCATTTAGTTTCTCTTTTTGCTTTCTTATTTCTCTGTTCAAATTTTATTGATTGATCATATTTTTGACGATCTTTCCCGAGGATATCAAAATATTTTTGTTCGCTAGCTAACACCTTAATTAACGTCTACATGCAAAACAGTACGATAATATTAACAAAGGAGTATCATAATTAAAAATTCGTAATTTCTCGTAGAAGATGATGCCACGTCTACATATATACTATAGTTTGATCATGATCTTGTAATGTCGGAATTTACAATGAAATATGTTAACAGAAATTTTATAACCAAGAGTTTTGGAGTCGAACCATGCATCCCCACTACTTTCGTAAAGTGCTATTTCTTGGTATGGTTCAACTTTGAATCTGGCTTGATATCCAATAACATTTAGGCATTTAGCGAGTAAAATAACTCAAGCTATTTACGTTATGGCGCACGTGTGACTTTCCTTTGTCGGCAAGAGCTCTACAAGAAGATTCATGCTAGAGGGGCCAGATGATGCTTTTGCATCGATTTAATATATTTTCAGAGGCATTTCATATCCGATGGGTTCTCTCTTATCATCTGACGATTGCCACATATATCATTTTGTTATATATTTTCCATAACTCCGACTCTTAAATTGAATGAGCATGCATTGACATAGAATTTTTTGCAAATGCATATTTCAGATAAAACCTTAAGCCATAGACCTAGTGACCATATAACCTCCAACTCTTAATTAATTATATGAGTATATAGGTTTTAAGTTTTGTCAATATATATTACATGTCAAATGTGTGAATAAAATATATAAAACATAGTAAAAATATAACCTTCTTGTTTTTTTTTTTTTTTTTTTTTTTTTTTGACAAATAACCTTCTTGTTTTTGTTTACTTTATAGACAACAGAAATTGTATATATGTCGTACATATATGTATCTATAGACTATAGCTACGTCCGTGTGTGTATCTTTATAAATATATAATTCACGCAAGACACTCTCTCTATCTTTATCTCAAACTATGGATCAATGGGAAAGCGTTTCATGGATTGAAGAACCACTAAAGTGCCATGATCAAGGTAACACAAAAGCACACGAATAATTATGTCTATCACTTATGTAGTTTGTTTTTGATAAAGTAAAACTTATGTATAGTAGTTGCATTAATTTGTGATTGGCTTAGGACACAAAGGCTGTTTCAAGAAGAGGAAGAAGATGATCTACAATTGTTCTGGTTCGTGATCAAACCATTGACGCTATCTTAACCTGAGCTTTACTAATTGGTATATTTTCTGTTTTTTTTTTCTTGACCTTGTAAGACCTTCTCTCTACTCTTTTCTACCTTCTTACTATTCCTATCTTCTAGATTTCTCGATTCTGTCGAGTTTCTTCATTATTTGTTTAATTTTACTAAATCGATCAAGATTTTGTTGTATACCTTAGGATTCATATTCCCCCTCTTTTATATATCCCTCTTGAGCTACCTAAATTTTTTTCTCTAATCTCTCTAACTATGTATTGTTTTTAAGAGATCCTATAGAGAAACACATTCTAATGCGAATAGCATAAAGAAAATGTGATGAGTAATTTACTTTGATGATATATGAACTGTCTTTAAATCACCAAGTTAGTGTGTTTAATTCACCAAGTTATGGTATCACTATTGATCGAGGTTATGCATCGATTCTTATTAAATATACGCTCGTTACCTACTATCTCCAAGATTAGATAAAACTATCCCTAATTAGTTTGATTTATGGGGGAAAAAAAATAAGACCTGATTATTATAAGGAACAAACTTTGAAACATCGCCATGGTTACCAAGATTTGCTACACTCAATAAGTGAATTGAAGCCCTAATGGGTCTAATCACCATCGATGAAATTAATATTGGAGGGATAAGTGCTAATTATACATGGTTATAAAAAATGTGCTAAATAATAACAATTACGAAAAAAATAAAATTATTTGAGTCGGATCTAGATAGAGTTGGTACCCGTCACTATAGTAAGATTCTACTTGGTCATTATGTATCAACATTGTATTTTAGAATTGATCTGTAATCGGTTAATAAAGTATACATACGTATTCACGTATTGAAATACATTGTATAGGTGCTGGTTTCAAAGTATATGGTTTTGTAACCGTATATGGTGGTAGATTACCTGACGCATGCGTTGACCTTAACTAGTCATTTCAATAATGAGGTGGATATATTGTCTCTCTTCAAATGTGTTTTTTTTTTTTTTGTTCACATCTTTCTTAAAATGTGTTTAAGAAGAATCCTCCTTTATTTACTAGTTGTATTTTTTATATGTATACAATTTGGAACCTGAATTCTCCACATATAAGTTTTGATAAGATACAAAGAAATCTGGATCTCGAAGAGATAGTTCTCGGCCCAAAATCCTTTGAAAATGTAACTTAAAAAACATTGTATTTTGGGGGATTGTAGGATACAAGTATACAACACATGTAACTTATGCTAAATGTATGTTGAAAGTAAATCTGATAAGTTCGGTCCTTAGAAGCATTACTAATTTCTGGATGGCTGCGTTTAGGCTACCTCGGGCCTGCATTCGGGAAATTGATCAGCTATGCTCGGCTTTTCTATGGTCAGGATCGGAAATGAGCTCCCATAAAGCTAAAGTATCGTGGGAAGCTATTTGCAAACCAAAACAGGAGGGAGGACTTGGATTAAGATCGTTGAAAGAAGCAAATGATGTGTGTTGTCTGAAACTGATTTGGCGAATAGCTTAACATGGAGATTCATTGTGGGTCAAGTGGTTAGAAACGTACCTTCTTAAGCAAAAATCATTCTGGTCAATCAAAAGCAATACAGTTCTGGGTTCATGGATTTGGAAGAAGCTTCTTAAGTATCGAGGTGTGGCAAAAAATTTCTGCAAAGTTGAAGTGAAAAATGGTAACAGCACTTCTTTTTGGTATGATAATTGGTCTACTCTAGGAAGATTGGTGGATGTTGTAGGTGAGAGAGGAGTCATAGACCTGGGTATTCAACGAGGTATGTCTGTGGCTGAAGCTTGGCACTCACGTCGCAGTCGACGGCATAGAACAGAAGCTTTAAACCAGATCGAAAATGTATTAGCGGTGTCAAAGCAAAACCGAACAGAGGCAGTGGACATTGTGTTATGGCGAGGTCGGAATGACATGTACAGACCACAGTTCTCCACAAGAGATACTTGGAACCACATTAGAACAACTACAAATAAGGTAGCATGGCATAGGGGAATTTGGTTTACTCACGCGACGCCAAAGTTCTCTTTTTGTCTTTGGTTAGCAGTCTTGAACCGCCTCTCTACAAGTGATAGGATGGCAAGATGGAATGTGAGGTCGTCAGTGGCATGTGTCTTCTGCAATCACTGCATGGAAACCCGTGACCACCTATTCTTTACATGTGTCTATGCCTCGGAAATTTGGACAGCCACTGCAAAGAACCTTCTCAAGGCGCGTTACACAACGGATTGGCAAACTCTGATAACCATTGTCTCAGAAATGCAACGTAATCGAGTGGAAAGCTTTCTCTTGAGATATGCTCTACAAGCCTCGGTTTACACAATTTGGAGAGAACGAAATGGAAGAAAGCATGGAGAGAAACCGAACTCAGCTACACGACTTATTGGTTGGATTGATAAACAAATTCGAAACAATCTCTCATCGATTAGAATCATGGGAGACCGGCGGTATGAAGAAGGACTTCAAATCTGGTTTGCTTCAAGAGTGTAAAACAATTTAGTCTCTAAAATCTCAGCTTTCTCTTTCAGCATAATTTCGAAACCGTTGCACTAGTTGTAAAAACGATATATTTTTTCTTTTGAATATAATTTAACATTAAATTCAAAAAAAAAAAAAAAAAGTAACTCGCCACCGTCTCTTTTGTGATGTTCTTAAAATTGTAAGAATTCAAAAGCCCTTACGGTATACAGTAAAACCTCTATAAATTAATAATGTTGGGACCATGATATTTTATTAATTTATAGTGATATTAATTTATCTATAAATTAATAAATATTAATTTATAGTATAAATTAATAATTATTAATTTATAGAAAATTTGTTTCAATTCTGAAAACTTTTTTTTTAAAATACGAGATAAAACAATGTGATCTAAATAAAATTAATGTTTTGGATGTTATAAATTTTATAGATTTAGCCTTAAACACTTAATATTTCGAAGAGAAAATAATTTATTTTGACAATGAATAACAAAGATTATGGAATTCACATATACAAACGATATAAATAAATTAAAATTCACAAATAGTGACATCTATTATTGTATTTTAAAAACCTATACGACTATTAAAACAAAAATTATGCATATTCAAAATTTGAAAACTTACAAAAACTTTTGGCTATTTTTATGAAAAACACTAAAACTATTATATATATATATATATATATATATATATATATATATATATATGTGTGTGTGTGTGCAAATTTACATGATTATTAATTTATGATATTATTGGGACTATATTTTTACATAGGGATTTCAAAAAACTTATTATCTTATTATCTTATCGAATTTGGTTAATTTTTACATTGACCCGACTTGGGACCGGCCAAATTTATTAATTTATCGTGTTTATTAATTTATCGAGTATTAATTTATAGAGGTTCTACTGTATATGTAAATTTTCTATAGTAGTAAAATTTTTTTTAAAATGAATACGTTGATTTTAACAAAAAAATTTGATTCTTTAATCTGATACGAAATTGAATCCATTAGATATATAGTTGTAATGAAAACTAAAAATTTCTCGTCGCCTTTCTCTTATCTATCGTATAATCTTCAATTTAGTGAATCACAACATCTCAATATTTCCATTTAGTAAAAAATCTTAAACTTAAAGAGCTATATTAAAATCTAGTATTATTGACAACTAAAAATATCAATAAAGGTTTTGCATCTTGAATATATATTTCAAATGAACGATCTACCAGATTCTTACATTAGAAAATATATAAAGTATACCACCAAAATTTTAGATTCCCACACTGACCACACACATGAATTCTTCTAGATGTTATCAATATTTTTAATTCTTAAAGAAATATTATTGATAAGGACTTGATATTAAATCATTAATCAAATAAACTTCTTTAACATATATATATATATATATATTGGCTAAGAAAGAAGTTATGGATCCCAAGTGTCACTTGAAATTGTGATTTTTAGCCTTTGTCTTAGTATTTTTTTAGTTGAACTCCCAAGCCTTACATATATATTGTATGTAAGACATTTTTTAAATTTGTATTAATTACTATATATTGTATTAAATTTGTAAGATATTTTTACTATATCAAAATTTTTTTGCGTTGGTTTCTAATTCTACATGTAATTGGTTGTATACAAATATTTATTATAAAGAAAAAACTGCTTTCAGATGTATATATATTTTTAAAATTATAAAATTAGTAAAATCTCTCTATAAATTAATTATTAACTTAGTGATAAATTAATATCTTTCTAAATTAATAAAAAAATTTGGTCCCGACTTTATTAATTTATAGAGGTTTTACTGTATTTGGAATTGGAGCAAAAAAAAAATTATATATATATATATATATATATATAATATTTTTTAGAAAATAATTGAGGGCGGAAGACGACACCGTTTGGATGACGTGTTACAGTGTAAGAAAGGAATTATCTGGATAATGGTGGGATCGTCCGTACAATAATGGGGTTCAATTAAATATTAAGGATTTGCACGCGTTAATGGTGGAAAAATAATCATCACTAAGCATATAATTATTACATTCTTCCAAGAATAATCTCCTTAATGGCCATCTTAAAGCTCAAACATTAACCATTGAGACGTCTCTACGTGGAGATAAAATTATAAAAATGACAAAAAATTTGGATTGTCTACTTTTGAACCCAAAGCCTTTCACACACTTTGGTCCCCTTTTTCCCATATACAGGTCCCATAGACATGTTTCTAAAAGCATCATGAATCGGATTATCCATTTTTTTTCTTATTTATCATGCTAAAGTCATTAGATAAATATTTTTAATAAGTTATGTTTTGTCTGCTTGTGTGACATATACTGGTTTAATTAACTATAGTATGAAACTTGGACGTGGAACCAATTATTGTTGCTTTAGAAATTTCATTTATAATAAAATGTAGTGTGTTTATATAGCATGATTCCATGAAGAAAATCACTTTTAGTGTGAAATCGTCTTTCACATAAATTATCCTCCCCAAAACAACAGAAAATGATTTAGTTATTAATTTGATTCTGAATTTAGAAATTATCAGCATAAATATATTATTACAACCCCAAAATAGCAATCAAATTTACTACAATTACAAATATAACAATTTCCTAAACGCTCCAATATATCTAACGTTGCTAATAATTTAACAAAACCTTCTTTTTTTTTCTTCAAATAAAAGCTTTGTTTTCCCCTTTATAACAAATTCCTTTCACACTTTTAATTCAGAAGCTTTGTATTTTCCCTTTACTTTGTAAAATTGCTTCTTGTCTATTCATCAGAAGCTTCCATTGTCGAGGACTTGTTGATGTTGTTGTAAGAGCCAGTAGTCTTCATCATTTCCAATGTTCCAAAAACTGTCCGAATAGTTAGGTATCATCCCATTAACATTTTCAAACCAATTAAGGTCACTTTGATCTTGCATCTTCGTAAATTCTCCGTTTAATAATAGTCCACTGTTATTATCCAAATAATTCTGCGATGATATTTGTGGATCCACCAAATTCTGATCCTGACCAATCTTCCCCACTTCACTACTCATATGACATTCCGTTAGATCTGATGCAGGAGATACTGCCACGTTGGAATTATCCGGCGTGATGTAACCATTACCATTAGGGTTACTTATGAAACCCAAATGTTCCATGTTGTTGGTGTTGTTGTTGTTGACCACGAACTGATCTGAGGAGTTGGTGATGCAAGAGGACGTGGAAACAGACCCGGTAGAGGCGGCTTGGATACGCTCTACGAGCCGAGGCATCCACAGATACTTCATGGTGTCTTTAAATTGTTGACTGTTCACGTCGCATTTAAGCTGTTTTGCATGCTTTTGAACACGTGTTCTCCAATAGTTTTTGATCTCGTTATCAGTTCTTCCTGGTAAATATTGTGCAATCTTAGACCATCTGTAATCACAATTCACAAGAAAAAAAGACGTTTAATAACTAAAGTTGTGATCAAATTCTTGTTAACAGAAAATAAATGTATTGATGACTAAAAATGTGAACTAATTTGTGTAAATACAATAACTAGCCATCTTTGTTATCAAATTCTTGTTAATTAGTAGAATATAAAAGGGTATTGATGAGTTGTTTAAAACGAAACCGTACCTATTACCCCAACGTGAGTGAAGTTCAAGAATCAAGAGTTGTTCTTCGAGGGTTATGTTTCCACGGCGGACATCTGGTCGGAGATAGTTTAGCCACCGAAGTCTGCAGCTTTTCCCGGTCCTTTTGAGTCCTATTTCATATTGGAAGTTATTATTATTTAGACATCATCGTGTACACGTATATTGTATGATGATTTCATACGCAAGAAACTCATGATAGTGATCATATATATTTGGTAAAGATAACAAATTTACTTTAGAAATTATAGGAACCGTTGCTATGAGGCAAACACCCTAAAAGGGTCTTTGTCTCCAGAAAACTTTCGTCCATTGCGTTAGTGCTCTTCCCATATAGATGTTGATCATTAATTATTTTCATTTGATTTCAACAAGAATATAGTTACTTTATTCAAAACCTAGAGGGTTATATAATTGAATCCATATTCGAAAAGTTATAATAATTGAGTCCGAATAGCATTAAAATCATGCATATATAGATAAATTTAAAAATTCAGAAAGAAGAAAAATCATGGGCATAGATAAATTTACACTTTTTTTATATGCCCATGAAGTTTTTTTTTCATTTGTGCATACAAGGCAAAATCCATTTCTTGAAAATAAAAGAATTATGATTAACAGAAAAAGAGTGGAGAACTGAATAAAATAACAAAGACATACATATATGGAGATCGAATAAAGACAAGAATTAAACAAAAGGTAACTATAAGTTTAATTAACTTATGCAACTTGTGTATAATATGGCTTGTTACTTATTTTAATTTGTTTTCAATCAAGGAGCACATTCATACACATCATCTACACCTATATTAATATAAGTGTGTATATGTGTAAGCTGATGTTAGTGTATCATACCTGCGCAACGAGCGAGAGAGTTCCATCGACCTTCACCATGAGTAGCAATGTAATTGATGAGCTCGAAATCTTCCTCAACGGTCCATGGACCTCTTCTTAGGTGATCTATTTCTTCTTCCACGTTCGTGAAATCCTCAATGTTTTTGTTGATCTTTAAGCTTCTTGCTTTGTCATCCATTGATGAAGAGTGACTGACCCACAAAGAGAGATTCAGGGAAAAAATCGAGACCTTTTACTTTTGCTTTGTGTTCTGAATGAAAAAGAGTCGTTTTTTTGGAGTTATGTGTAGAGAGATAATGGATGTTGTTTGTATCCACAGGGAAAGATGGAGAAGTTGATGGTTTTATAGATGAAACAAAATAGATGATAATTTTATCTTAAGATTTATTTGTAACATGTGGGACAAAGGCATAGACGGCCGCAATATAAGAACTGTTAAGTGTTAACTTTCCCAATAACTTATGCTTTAAAAGAGACAGCATCTCCTACTATATTACTAATTATCAACTATCTTTGTAAGAGGAGAGCATCGTCATTATATTACTATCCGTGTTTAAATCCACATAAATATACATAAATATGTTGTTGATAAAATAAGTATTTCTTATAAATATTTCATCCGTTTCACAAAGAGTGTCGTTTTAAAGTTTTATTTTTAGTTCATAAAAAATGTCATTTTGTATTTTCAATGCAAATTTTTAAATCAAATCTCAGTTTCATCTCTATTTTTTAACTTATTAATTAGAGATAGAAACTATTTTAGTGTATTAATAAAGGGTAAAAAAAAAATTTTAATATTTTTCTTAATTTGTGTGCAAAATGGTAGAATAACACTCTTTATGAATATAATTTTTCGGAAATATGTACAAAATAAGTAATACCCGAACAAAACAGTTTGCTCAACTTAATTATAGAACTAATTCTCATGCTTGTGTTTTAAATTTTGATTAACCGATGTTACGAGCCTAGAAACATTATTAAGTGAATTTACCTATGCAATTTTTATTTCTCAACTGACACCGTTTATGTTCAATTTTTCCTTTTCCAAGACGGAAATGAAACCATTTTGCATAGATATGAACCTAGATTAGTCCGACAGCAGTTGTTTCACATCCATTCAAGACCATGTCTCATGAGCGAAAAAAGCATTTTTAGGATTCTTAATATTATGCAAATTTGGGAGCCATCAATTATTTTTAAATTCTTTATTGGTAAAATATGTAATTTTAGTGATTTTTTCTATTCAGTTTCATAGGATTTTTTTTAATCATTTTTCATATTTACAAAACAGTATATAAAATTTACGACAACAAATATATATTTAAGAATATACTATTAATTTTCTCATTTTTTACATTCGCTTTGTTTTAGACCCCCAAAACCCTAGACACGACCATCATCCATTTATCCATAGTTGCACATATCAATATTCCTAAACACACCAAATTATCTATTTCGCCACGTAAATTCTTAGAAAACTTTATCTTTATTACCAATTAATTTTGAGACGGAAATCTAAAAGTCTTTTTAAAGGTTTATCGATCTGTTAAACATCCCGTAAAAGTGCTACCAAAATCCAAGGATAAAGACTCAAAATGTGTTTTTTATGATTTTGATCTTTTGATTTTGTCACTAAACTCGCTTAATTAAGATAATAATCGAAGTTGACCACCGTTAATAACTAAACTATGAGTAATAAAATATCTCCTGCGACTCATTTTGTCATTCAACGCGTTATCCTAATGACTAAATTTTAAAATGCCGCAAATTGAACATTAGTTATAGGATCGTGGTAGGACTTAATTAACTTTTAAGGGTTAATTAGTGTACTAGTTAGCACTTAATTCAGCACTATAGCTTTGAAGGTTGACATTTGACGACTTTTCATGCGTGTAATTCTGTTTCTTAATTATGTTTATAAGTTGTCGTAATAACTTAATTATACTTTTTTTCAATTTCAAACAAGTTGCAAATACTATACTGTATTTTCATATACGTTTTGTACTTCTCCATGGCCAATTCCCCCTATTTGTTCATTGGTCTGACCATAAAATTCAAATTCGTTTAGCCAACTTAGGTGCATTCAAATACTGAGGGACAAATTCAACGTCTACTTATATATAACTAGAAAAAACCCACGCGATGCGTGGGAATAGTTTGAATATATTTTATCGTAAGAAAACTAAATTAGTTTAACCTAAAAACATAGTAGAACCTGTATTAATTATTAAGTATTATTCATTAAAAGTATTAGCAAAAAATCTTTCAATTTATTTCTTCTCTACAATGACTTAAAAAGTTGGAATTTACATGTTTAAATGAATCATATGATTTGAGAAAACATTATATATTTGAAAGGCTTGTGAATTAACATTTCCAGGGATATTGGAAAAATAATGAGATGGCTTTGTGTCAAAACAAAAATGAGGACGGTGGAGAAGAAGTGAAAAAATTTGGAGAGTTGAGATAATATTTTGTTATCTTAAAAGTCAAATACTTGTTGATTATTACAATATTACCATCACAAATAGAATTTATACCACAATTATAGAAAACAAAATAGTACTCTTAAATCCTAGTAACTAAATAAATTTAATAAAATAATTTATTATCACTTGAGTTTCACATTTTTGCCAAATTTGTAATAAATTGTAAATTAATGTAGTGAAATGTTTTGCAACTTATGTGTATCTATAGAGGGTAACAAAATTTTGAATTAAAGTACTACAAAATAATGTTGGACTACCGTTATAAAGCTAAGAAAATGTAAAGACAACACATTAATTCTAAACTTTAATAGAAATCTAATGATGTAAGACATTATTAAAAATATTTAATCGATATTTTACGAAAATTTTCAAGTAGTATAAAATATTAAATAATAAAAATAGACGTTAAAAGAAATAAAAACATGGAATATTTATAACATGGATGTTATGTTAAATTATCATTTATATCTCTTGCATCCATTTTGATAATATGATTTATTAATTGTTTATGTAATAGTTAGTTCACATAGCTATTAGTCTTTTAAATTAGAAAGGAAATTATAAGCATCCGTATTCATAATTATAAACGGTAGTATTCATAAGTGTTGTAAAATCGAATTTATAAGAGCTTATTCAATATTATCTTTTTCCCTTATGTTACATGTTTACTTTAAAATAATGGAAATTTAGGTATATTAATTTTAAAATATATAAAATGTCGAAATAGCTATTTAAAATGTAGGCGACTTAAACATCATTAGAGTATCTCCAACTCCACTCTATTTTTTTCTCTAAACTCTATTATAAAGCACAATTCTCTCCAACCCTACTCTATATCTCACTCTAAAATAGAGTAAAAGAGAAGATTATTCTATATATAGAGGAACTCTATTTTTTTTTTACCATACCTCTATTTTAGAGTAGGGTATAGAGTGATACATTGGAAAGAAAGCATGCTCTATTTTAGAGTAAAATATAGAGATTTACATTGGAGATGGTCTTAGGAGGTAATTTATACAACTAATGCTCCATTAATAAAAAAATCAGTTATTAATAAAAGGATGTAAGGATATTCATTATTTATTTGAAAGTGAAAAGAAAAACAAAATAAGAAAAATATGGCACATATCGCTTAAAAAATATTAGAATATCTTATATATGTTAATTCTAGATTTTAAAACGACATTGAAAAGGAAAACAAAAATATATATAAGATGTCAGAGTAATTATTGAAAATTGCTAAGTTGAAGATTGTTAATTTTTTTTTCAATTTATACCGCATTTATCAGAAAATTAATTTTTCATAATAATTTATTTTAAAGGAAGAAGAAAAAATATGGCTCATGTTGGCAAAAAAAAAAGAGCAACTTTTATATATGTGTAGAATAACTTTTAAAACTATTTTTATATGAGATTTGAAATTGTATTTAGTGATTTTGAAAACTTGTCACCTATTTAGAATTGTTAGCTAAACAAAATTCATCCCCATATAGAAATATTTTTAACAATATAGTCTACATACACAAAACATATATATATTAGGAAATATTTTCTTTATTTTCTGATCATAAATAATAGAATTCAAATATACACAGCATATCTTACCATTATTCTGAAAATGGCCCAGTAAAGGCCCAGCTGCCCAAACCCATAAGGTGTGTGTCCAATCTTTTTTTTATTAGGCCCAAGTCTGATCTAAATTACTTTTTAGCAAAACCTAGTCAATGGTTGTGTCGAGTCTACAAACTCAATGGCCGAGGACTCCATACGAGAAGTAACTCACAACCGTTACTATGGATTTGCTTTAATCATCCGAGAACCATGGCTTTAGAATCCCTTATGTCTAAGCTTTGCAAACCCCATGGCTTGAAGTTTTATGACATGTGTTTTCCGACTCCAAATTGTCAGAGTTTTGTTTGCGATTCTACCCCCATTCATCACTCTATGGCAACTCTAGCAATCAACTTCAAGCATCCGAGCACCACCATCCTTTTTCGAACCCTTGTTCGAATCTTTGCCAAAGCACTTCTTCGTGAAGTCCTTCTCGTGCCGGCGAGATCCACGTCTTTGGCTCCTTCTTCAACGTTACTTCGTCTTTTGACAGTGACCAAACTTTCATCCACTGACTTGTTCGTGGAAGAATTGTCGACAATCCTTGATCTCACATGTACCACATCGCTTTCAAGCGTTTGGCTCAAAGCTCTCATAGAACCATTGTTGATGTACTTTATCTATCCTTTAATTTATCTTATTATGGCATTGGGGAATGCCCTTCATTGTTGTACTTTAAACTTGGGATCTCGATATCCTTTTATCCTTGTACTTGGCTTCTATCTTAATTGAATGAAAACAAGTTCTTTGCTCAAAAAAAAAAAAATCTTACCATTATAAACGTAATAACATATGACATTATGGACTGAAATATACTTAGAAAAATGACATTAAAAAAAAATAACATATGAAGGAAAAAGGATTAGAAACCAATAAAATTAAATTTAAAGCATCAAATTAAAGGAAGAGATAGCACTTAAAAAAACAAATCTACGCCAAAACATCATGTATTTTTGGTTTTTGATGGATGTTGGGTCTCTCATGTTAAGATTTGAGATTGGTATGTCGTATTGTGCTATTCTTATAATGATGAAATAAATTATAGTAAATTAATATTTAAATGTAACCTCCACCATGAGAAAATACATTCATTTTTAAAAAATTAAATTATGGGAGTTACAATAATAGTTAATAGTGTGTTTGAATGCCATTGAATAGAGAAAAAATGTTAATACACAATTTATATGATTTAGGTTACAATTTAGTATTAAAAG